AAGATCAAACATGATCTAATATAAGGAGACCAGGTGAGTGCATATTTAATTTGTACTTATGTTATTGAACGAACATTGGCTTACGATAAGTCAGTGACGGAGTTACTATGGTAAGGAGTGACTCCTAAATTTCACGTGTTTTGTGATTATTGCATATATATTCATTTGGTGAGGTAATAGAATTAGTGAATAAGCTAAAATTGCAAATTGGTGAAATCTGCCTAGAGTTGTGTTTTGAACAGTAAGTTAAGAAAATCATAACTCTAAAGAAATTATTAGAGGATGATATTTATATCGTTGGATTAATATATCTGTCTAGTTTTTAAAAAAAACAACGGATATTGATTTCAAGGTATAAACAAAAAGATATTAATTTTTAATCGATGATAGGTAAGAAAACAGGGCAGCAGATTATGCTCAAAACAGCTTTTGCAAGTCAACTTTGAAAATTCACTATAAATTGAACTAGAAGGAGTTCCTTATATGGTTAGATTTTTATTCGAGTCTAATTTCCATTGGTATAAACGAAATAATTTTTAAAGGTGTAGATTAATACATAATAATATTTATTTCAAGGTAGTGCAAACTGTCAAGATATGAAATTGTGATAAATTTTGAAATTTAACCAAATCAAAAGTAAATGATTAAGTTGAAGCTTAGTAAGCTTATATTTTGACTTGTTTATAATGTCAAAGCGAGGGCAAGGCATGCATAACATTATACATGGATGCTTTCTAAATCATCGGGTATGACTTGTGATAAGTCTACCTTATCTATATTGGCATGATATTTATGTCATTTATTATATATTTGACATATTCTTAATATGGAAAAGGTTGATTAAGAAATGCATCGATCATTAGTTATTATATATATATATATATATATGACATTTCGGGTATGAACTGCCTAATGTGAAATTATATTAATATATTTTGCTATGGATGGATTGAATAAATATAGACTATATGCCCAAGTATGAGGGTCAGTGGTATTGATGACATGTCATAGGAGTCCGACAACTGCATGTTTCAGCATTATAGTATACAAGGACACTTAGTGCAGGTGGTGGGCACAACCTTATGTGTCATATCCGGATCAACACTAGAGTGTAAACCTAGTATAGGTGGTGGGCATGACTCTATGTGTCATATCCGGATCAATACTAGAGCGTAAGCTTAGTGCAAGTTTACCACTACTGTGCATATATTTGGCTCGAATATCGGGATCCTCATAGGTTTATATTTTGGGCTATGGTTTATTGGGTAATAAATGAAAAGCATGTAAATAAGCTTAAGAGCTTATGAAATAAAAGGCAAGTATATTGGTAAGAAATTTTATATGTGATTCATTTCATGTTAATATTAGTAGCATGATTGAAAATACAGGTAAAGTGATCATGATGCATTAAATATTATTATTGTTACAATTATGTATTGCATTGCCTTGAACATTTCTATGATTGTCTTACTAAGTGTATACTTATTGTGTGATGATTTTCACGCGTAGGTAAAAAGAAAGCGAAAGGAGTAAGGAGATGAGCTTAGCATCAATCACCAAGGAATATTTATTGCTAACAGTGATGACATCCTATTGTGTTCCAAATTTTCTAGCTGGTATGTATACGAGTAAGAAATATTTGTAAATTTATAAATATGGTTAGTAATTAATATCATTAATAGTATGAATAAATATTTTGATATTAAACTATGTTTTAAATATTGATTGATTGGATTTTAATCAGACAGTTATAGACAATTTTATTTATTATATAAAATAGAGCATAACTATCTGTTATTGCCTAAAACCAGATTTGAAATAGAAATCGAAATTTTATCTTGATTTTTTCTAATTACTTATTTTATAATAAAGGTTAAGAATTGGCAATATTTGAAAGAAACAAAAATTTTACCCGGTTTGGGTTACAAAAATATTTTGAATAATTAGAGTGACATCTTTAACTCGTATCATTACACGTATACGAGTTAAGGGTGTTACAAATACCCACCCTTGGTACCAATATCAAAACTGTATTCTTTAACCTGAGGAGGCTTCAGAGCATTGATACTTTTACTTGGAGTATCAATACTTCTCTACTAGGTATCAATATCATTATGGGTACCGATACAAAAAATGGCTATTGAAATCTGTGACTTAATGTTAGTATCAATACCTCGCCCTTTGGTATCGATACTTGACAAACAATATCGATATTTTGTGAATAGAGTATCGATACTACCAAGCTAAAAACCCTAATATTAGTCATTTGTACTATTCTTACTAAGTCTTCATGAACAAGATCTCATTATAGAGCTAAATGTCTGATATCATTATTCAACCAATATGTAACTCATTTATTACTCGTATTAATGATTTCATTCACTAAGGCCCAAAAGGGCAATTCAAAAATCTTAGACCATCTCCAAGGGTATTCTAGTAATTTACCCCATTCACAAGTATACCAGATGTTTAAGGCTTATGAAAAGAGTACTTCATTAATTACTAGAGTCTTAACACCTTTTTAATATTGTGCTCTTAGGCTTTTTCTTATCACTTATTATGAATCAGGGATATTTTGGTCATTTTATCTATTCGAGGGTATTTCAACTTCAATCCAAGGTTAACGAGCAATAAAAAATATATTACCCCATTTCTTAAGGTCTTACACTTTTAGAGGAAATTTTGGACCCTTATAGGGCACTATTCACAACTATAGGCAAATTGGTAATTTCAGTCCTCTAAAGGCATTTTACGAATTTCCCACACTTGAGCTAGAATGTTTAACCTCAATAACTATCAAACTTCTCACTCTCGAGTTTATTAGACATCTAAAAGTCCACTAAACAATCATACTCTCCCTAAGTACCGGTACCAAAAATGACCTCGTAAGTCTTCTAAAATACTCTTAGTATCGATACCCTTAATGTAGTATTGATACTCTTTCACGTAGTATTGATACTCTTTCAGGTAGTATTAATACTCCCTTGAGTATCGATACCAAAATTCACTTAAAAAAAGACCCAAAAATCACCTTTTGTGTTTTTCAAAGGAAGAGTATCGGTACTCCCATCAACAATATCGTTACTTCCCTTATAAAATAGCTTAATTTCACCCAAAATATGAATAATATCGATACTATTCATACATTATCGATGTTGCAACCCCAAAATACCCTATTTGGCTCGAGAAACACCCTCAAACTCACCCTAAACACTTATGTTAAGGACTAAGTTGATTATTAAAGCTTATGTAAGTTATTAGGGGTCATTATGCATCATTTTTACACTAAAGTAACATCCAAAATTTCTATAATAACAAATCAAGAACCCAACCCCCACATGTTTCACTATACTCATACAAGAAAGCTATACTAAATGTTATGCACTACAAGTAGTAAGAAAGAGTTATAGTGTGTTACCTCAACTCCTAGCAACCCACAGACGTCTATATCTTACATAATGATCAACATTTTCTTAACCTAGCTCAATGAGGGGGTCTTTGCACCACTTTTTCATCACCCAAAAGCCAACCAACAATTCTAACATGAAAAAGAAGAATAATTGTTGTTAACCAAAAACTAAACCACATAAAAAAACTAATAAAAATCAATAGAGGAAGCCTTTGGGGCTAAAACCCTCCCAAAACTCCATGAGAGCTCAATATCACCATTTATAGACATGGTGAGCTTTTCATGAATCTCAAAAACTCTATATCGTGAATCTTACCTCTAGATTTCGGATGGGTGTTGATGAAGAAGAAAGATAGAACCTTTTATCCAAGTTCTCTAACTTGGGACAAGAAAGAAAAATAGAAGAAAGAAAAATAGAATAAGAAGAGAAGAAACGAAAGTTTTGGGAAATGAGAGAAGAAAAGATGGTTTGGCACATTGCCCAAAAAGGTCAAGGCAAGAAGTATAAAATCCTCCCAAAAAATCAGTCATATTTGCCTCGATAAGGAAATTACCCGTTAGGCCCCTCTCATTTTATTCTAAGCTTAAAAATCCCCTTTTTATCTTCTACAAGGTTGATTTCATACCTAATTAAACTAAATTTTGAACTAGTGGACCTTCATGATATAATAAATCTATTAAATAAATTAATGGGTCGATATAAAATGACTAAATTGGTATTTGGGGTGTTACAATTATGAAATAAGCTATGGACAAAGTTCAAGTAAAAGTACCAGAGAGGAAAAGAAAGGGAATCGGTGATATAAAAGATAAGAGAGTGTAGTAAATGTATAGAAATGAAGAAGTTTACCTCTTCAATCCATCATTCTCTACCATGATAGAAATTAAGAAGCTGAATGACGAGATTCCCATTACGACCAGCGTAATTAAAACTGTACTCACAACTTCAAAGGGTCACCGATCATCAGCTGTTGCAGTAGTAAGTTTTGTAATACTCATATTCATGGTGGTGGTTGCATGGTGAGTGAAGAATGAGAAAGAGAAAGAAGGAAAACGTTGGTAAAATGTTTTGGGGAGTCAAATGTGTGATAAAATGTTCGAAGTCACCGGCTTAACGTGCCTCGTCACATCAACATTTTGTCACCCAAGTAATAGCTGTTAACAACAAGTGATCAATTTATTACAAATCGACAATGTTAATGACAAATTTATTACTTTTGAAACTTCAATGAAAAAAACAGAAACTTAATTAAACTTTAGTGATCATTTTTGTAGTGTACCCTTTTAAATATTATATATATAGCAATCCATCTCAATAATCATCTAAGCATATTGAATGATAACTTCAGAAAAATATGAGGAATACACACACACAAACATATATATATATTATAGTAAATTAAAAAATGAAACTTAATGATAACTTGTAAAATTTTAAGAAAAAAACTTGATAAAAATATACATAATCACTAAGAGGAGACTTGATTTTCAAAGTTAACATGCATCATCTTCGATTATATGTTGTCACGTCCTTTGTGCAGATTCTAAACATAAGCATCTTTAATTAAAAGGTAGGGTAAAATACTGCAACTTTTTTAGATCCGTAAAGCTCACTGTAAAATTAAGTTTTCAAAAGGGGAAGAGACATCGAAAACTACAAAGATAGCAAACAAATAAATGTAAAAAAAAAAACTCCATCCCACATCTACTATAAAGAGACTTCCCGTTCCTGCTGCTTCCTCAGAAGTATGACCTTAATTGTTTCAATGGGGGAAAGCTCTTTTTCTGCAATCCATGTTTCTGTGAGAGAGTATATATATGCAACCTTAAGCTGATGAGGCAGCATTCTTGGTGGTGGTGCCGCCCTCCTTGTGATCACCAAAGATACGTTGCCGAAAATCCGAAACCATGAGAGGTAGACCCTTTCGGAGCGACACCTTGGGTTCCCAACCGAGCAACTCCTTGGCTCTTCCGATATCAGGCTTCCTCTTGTGTGGATCATCTTCTGTGTTTGGCCTGAACTCTATCTTCGCATTCGGGTCAATCGTTTCTTGTACCACCTATAACGTAATAACCCCCCTGACTTTCCATTGAATGTAGTAAATATTAATTTAGGCAGGGGAAAAAGAAAATGATTTACCTCAGCAAGCTCAAGCATGGTGAATTCACCTGGGTTTCCAAGGTTAAAAGGTCCAACGTGTTCTCCTTCCATCAAACGCATCAGACCCTCCACCTGTTTCAGCCCAGAGATTTAGTTTCAACCAGATAATACCGGACCCGGATACAATACCTCACAAATCTAGCCTACCCCAAATTCAGACAATAAACATAGTTTTACCAGATCAGAAACATATTGGAAACTCCTTGTCTGCTTCCCATCACCATACACAGTCAATGGCTCCTTCCTTAAAGCCTGCAAATATGAAATATTATTTAGTTAGTCAGATAAACAACTACACTTGAACAATCCAATACTTTCTTTTAACTAAATTGCCGAAAGGAATAAAAAGGGTACCTGAGCAACAAAGTTGCTAACGACGCGACCGTCATCGATGCACATACGAGGTCCGTAAGTGTTAAAGATTCTGGCAATCCTAACCTGAAACAGTAAAAAAATCAATATAAAACACGGGAATAGTAGAGATCATACTGTGTCGGCGAGAATAAAATATCTAATCTTTTTAATTAATTAAGCTTAAGAAGTATGTTAGGTAAACCTCAACGCCGGCTCCTCTGTGATAATCCATTGTCAACGTTTCAGCAGTACGCTTTCCCTCATCGTAACAGCTTCGGACACCTGTCATTGAACATTCAAATCAATTTATTTGGTTGGTTCCAGAAAAGCAGATTAAAAATGTAAACAATTCCAGAACTTAAGCAGGACCAAACAAATCTAAATCGATACTAAACTCCAAATTTACAGTCACAACAAACAGCACCACCCGCATATTGTCGGTTTTCTTTTCTCACCGTTCCAAAACCCAGAAAAAGGAAAAAGAAGTGATAGCAGATGTGAAAAACGTGGGATAAAAAGCAGAATTTGTTGGGCCAAAGGCCACTGATCACGGGTTTCGCGTGAAATGCTCCACAAGATCTAAAAATTTCTACAGCGCCGATGCCGGTAATACTCTTTACAACTTCAGAAACAAAAAGTTGTGTAAACCGAACCAAACTCAGTTCCAAAAAACTAACCGATGGGGTTAACGTTGCCCCAGTAAGTTTCCTTCTGAGGATGTTGCAGAGGATCTCCGTAGACTTCACTGGTACTAGTTAACAAGAACCTGGAACCGACTCTTTTTGCCAGACCTAACATGTTCAGTGTTCCCACCACATTTGTCTTGTAAAAACCACATTCGAATTAAGGACAAAACAAGATCGAATAATGCAAAAACATATAGGAATTTGAAAATTAAATATTGAGTAAAATAAATAGTGAAAAAAAGGATATGATAGTTTTGACGGGATTGAATTTGTAATGAACAGGAGAAGCAGGGCAAGCGAGATGGTAGATCTGATCAACTTCCAAGAGCAGAGGCTCAACGACGTCGTGTCGGATGAGCTCGAAGTTCGGATTCCCGAAATGGTGCATGACGTTCTCTTTCCTTCCGGTGAAGAAATTATCGACCACGATCACGCTGTCTCCTCTTGCTATCAAACGGTCCACCAGGTGTGACCCTACGAATCCGGCTCCACCCGTTACGACGATCCTCAGACCCTTACGCTTCAGCCCCAAAGGAATCTTACCGGTCGGATTGCCCGATCCGAAACCCAGACGGTGTTGGTAGGAGAACTTGTTCTGGGTTTCGATGGGGAAGTAGTTGATGGAATCGAGGATCGGGGTGTTAGTGTGGGGAACGAGCGGAGCACGTGAGGTTGGGAAGATGGTGAAGATCAGGGTGGCTATGGCAATGCCGAATAGCACGAAGAGGAGGCGCTGCTCACGGAGCAAGTAACGGGCGGCGCGTGTGACGGAGGACCATGGTTTGTCCGGTTTAGGTGAATATGAATCAGAAGCAGGCTGGGTCTCATGTCCTCTGTATATGAGCTCCGACCCCATCGGCCTTCGATTTCGAAACAAAAAAAAAACTAAACTCAAATTATAAGATAAAAAAAGGATAAATTTCTAAATGAATCTCTTAGGCAAATCGTGGGTAGCCCAAGTCGCCGACGTGTTTGAGGCAGAGTGGCGATGGGGAGGAAGGGGATTTGATGTAAGAAGTCAAGAGGAGATTAAATATAAATAAAGGGCTCTGGAACGGGTGGTATTACGGAAATGCCCTGTCCGGTGGCTCTTTTTTTTTCAGTTTGAATTGGAAAGTAAACGACCGTCATCAGTTGGAGAATTTCTAAAAGCTTTTTAAAATTCTATTTTTCACTTTTTTTGGTTAGGGATTTGTTTAGGCTATTGCCACTAATTATATTATTTGTATCGATTTGTTCTATAAAATATTTTTTGAGATATTTTTGTATTTTTAATTATAATTTGTTATTTTATTTGTCTCAAATCGTTAATATCATTAAACAAAAATTTAACGTTTGATTGTTACAGTCTCTACCACGACTAAATAAACGACAAACAGTTGATCCCTACATTTGATCAAATGATTAATTATCACGATCGATCTAAAAGATTTTTAGGAATTCAAAACCCTAAAATAAAATATTTCATTTACACCATTTTTAGGTGTTCGATCAGTTGCAAAAGTACAAGGATTTTGGTCGTGAGTGGTTGGTCGGTCACACATCCTTGGGTGTTCAGCTGATTAACGGAGTTGGTGGCAGCCGACGGTGGTCAAGGGATTAAAATTAAGGTTTTAAAAGTTTTGGGTTTTTTTAAAATTTAAAAAAATTAGTTTAAAAAAAAATATTTTTATTTTAAATAAAAATTCTCATAATTATCATAACGTGACACATGTCGCTCTCAAAGATTTTTAACGTCGGTTAAAGTCTAGACACCTACAAATATAACGTTAGAAACATTAGATATATCTTTTCGACAAAAAATTCTTTAAACACCAAATCATATTTTATGATATAATTTAGTCACTTATTTTCATTTGAAACCTTTAACCATAGGCCTAGTTTCTACAAACATACATCACCTATCATTTCTTTTCCGTCTAAATCCAGGTGCATGGTAAAAATTATGAATCATATTATTTTATTTAAAGGTAGGGATCGGAGTGAATATCTGATCGAATCGTGTCAAAATATTTTGAGTTGATGAGTCATATTTATAAGTCATATTTTATTTGAATTTTTTCAAGTCTAGTTGATGGAATTTCTATTTTAAATTTAATTATAAATATTTATAACATTGTAGTAATATTTGATTCCAATTAAAACAATTTTCTATAACCACCTACAATATTGTGATAATTAGATTCAATCAAAATGAATATTGTGATAATTCAAGAGTCACTCTTATTAAGATGATGATGGGAGGACTTGAGTTGAAAGCATACAGATAAAGAACAAATCTATTTAGTTATTATATTTCAATTTATGAAGTCAAATTATATAGACTCGATTGTTACATTTAAAGTCTTTAAGTTATTTAAACATAATCTGAGAAATTATAAATTTTATAGAATAAGATTATATCGAGGTTAGTGTGTATGCTTAATTGATGATTAAAATTGTTAAGTATGGTTTATTTTAGACAATAATTATAAAAAAAATGGTGTGATAAAGTAAAAGTGAATGTTTAGGATTAGGATTAGGATTAGTTCTAAAAAAGACTTGTTATTTGAGTGTCTAGTGCACCGATTATCATTTTTGTAAATGTATATGTGCATTATTTATTTTTATTCTTAATGTTTTAGTTCATAAATACTACGATAAATTAACACACGTTTTAATTTAATGAAAGTAGAATTTAAAATAAATAAAAGTGTTTTTAAAAATAATCCTTCGATGACTAAAACTAAATATAAGGCAAAAGATGCTGAACAGGTTCATTAGTAAACCAAACCTATCTCTCCAGCATTCCTTGTTTTGTGTATAAAATCCTTTGAACATAACTTTAAAGTGAAGTTAAAGGTGGGAAATGGTATACTTGGTCAGTTTCCTCGATGCTTGGATCCCAAATCCGTGCCTGTTCTGTGTGGGACCAAAGAGACAGGGCTTGAATCGCACGTCGTTTGGTTGGAGCATTCATCTTAAGCAACGTGTTGGGCAATGGCGGGGATGTCCCACGTTTTTTCCACTCGCCCACCCATTGCCACTGTCACCGCCTTCATCCTCGACACTGAACCCGTCAATAACGAAATTAAATCCCTATACTAGTCAACCGCCAACCCGAACTGTAAATACTAATTTTTACCTTAGTGAACGGAGATTAATTTGGCTTACAATTGACTTTTTAATCCTAGGATTTTGTTACTTGATATTATGGAAACGAATCAGAGTTACCATGGGGTAAAAAATTCAGTAATAATATTTTAAACGACAAGTCGCTATTGCCATATTATTTGGTTGATTATAAAATAAACTAATTGCAAACACAGCTGTGGGTATTAGAAATATGGTTTGAGTCGGCATCCAATAAAATAGTGTTGGTTAGCTGATAATAATGATTTAGTTAACTAATGCTGAGAATCGTTTAGCAGTTCAAATACATCCATCATGTCGTTTACATATTTCTTAAATTTGATTCGTTTAAAGCATTTACATAAAATGATACTGTGCCGTATTCCACGGCCTCCAATTAAATTTGCATCCTTCCACCAACATCAAGCCATCAGGCAATTGGCTAAATTCAGCGACACTTGTCTTTGGATTGGATTAAATCATGATAATAGCGTTTGCAGTCTTAAATTAACGGAGACAATTACGATCCACATTTTTGTAGGAAATGCATTGGACCCAGTGGGATAATCTTTTATATTTTAATAATGAGTTATTACAGCGGGGGTTAGATTATAAGTAGTTTGGCAAGAAATATAAGCATGTGGAGGTATAGTTGTTGGCACTTCGCGGCGGGTGGAACTGAGTTTTCATATTCTCTAACAATATAATAATAACGTGGGATTTGGTATCGTTTCAATTTTGTATATTGTGAAATGATTGAGCATAGAAGGTTCCCCACAATTCATCTTCCTTTTGAATTATGCCTAACACATGTCGAAGCAATAAAATAACTTCAAATACTAGGAGCCAGACAAAAAATAAAATAAAATAAAATTGGATCGTAGAGGAAGTGCGTGGTTTTGGGGAGCCATGTCTGGGTCTTTGGAGACGGGTTCCTTTTTTGTGGTCGAAAACAAGGAACGTTGGACGCTGAAACTTTGAGAATACAACGGGTCCCCAACGCCATCAAGGAGGGCTTGATTCTTATTCTTTCAACATCTAATCATGCATGCATGGTTAATTAGAGCTTTCATTTTGATCTAATCAATGCTCGCACTGAACCTGTCCGCCCTTGTATATTGGAGTATATGACTACGCAACTTTATTTGTCTGCTTCAAAAACCATGGATTTGGATGGGTCTTGGCTCTCTGCAGGAACCAAATGAATAGAACATGGCTTTGCCTGGAAGCAGTTGACCTCCCTACTATTAATTAAAGTCAAATTCCTTTTTGAGTTCATATTCTATGCATAGATTATGGATTTAGTCGAAGACAGATGTTGAAATGTAGCCCGACATCGGTATTACAGCGGGGGTTAGATTATAAGTAGTTTGGCAAGAAATATAAGCATGTGGAGGTATAGTTGTTGGCACTTCGCGGCGGGTGGAACTGAGTTTTTCATATTCTCAACATAATGGGGATTTGTTTCAATTTGTATATTGTGAATGATTGAGCATAGAAGGTTCCCCACAATTCATCTTCCTTTGAATTATGCCTAACACATGTCGAAGCAATAAAATAACTTCAAATACTAGGAGCCAGAAAAAATAAAATAAAATAAAATTGGATCGTAGGAAGTGCGTGGTTTTGGGGAGCCATGTTCTGGTCTTTGGAGACGGGTTCCTTTTTTGTGGTCGAAAACAAGGAACGTTGGACGCTGAAACTTTGAGAATACAACGGGTCCCACGCCATCAAGGAGGGCTTGATTCTTATCTTTCAACATCTAATCATGCATGCATGGTTAATTAGAGCTTTCATTTTGATCTAATCAATGCTCGCACTGAACCTGTCCGCCCTTGTATATTGGAGTATATGACTACGCAACTTTATTTGTCTGCTTCAAAAACCATGGATTTGGATGGGTCTTGGCTCTCTGCAGGAACCAAATGAATAGAACTGGCTTGCCTGGAAGCAGTTGACCTCCCTACTATTAATTAAGTCAAATTCCTTTTGAGTTCATATTCTATGCATTATGGATAATGGAAGTCGAAGAAGATGCCCGACATCGGTAGAGGGTTGGACTTTAAATGAAAACCCTTTTTAATGTTGTATAAAATCTGAATCGACATTGGGCCTGACTGTGACTCCTCAATAATTTGCCGAACCTTTTACTTTTCAAAGAATTTGGTTCTCCAATCAAAGGCAAATGGGTAACTGGTATCTTTCAGAAAAGGAACATCACAAGTTGAGAACAAAACTTGATTTTGTATTAGTACATTTCACATTACTTTCTTACCACAAACACGATACAATGTTAGTTAATATCCAATTTCTCTTAACGCTTTAATCTATAAAAGCATCTCTGCACAATGTCACCACTCTTCTTCGACAACTCAAGGTCTCTAAGGTTATTGATGCATTATAATTACTCTTATGCAGCAATCGAGAAGCTAACAAATCCTTCAGGATGTATAAACTATGATCAAACTAATATAAGGGAGTATGTCATTATTCAATAACTGGATTAAATCAATTTACCTTGGGGAATCAACCATTCTATAATCATTCTTTTTGCGACGGCATCTATGATGAACTTTCTGATCAGAGAACGTGTTCTCCCAAACAATCTCCATTTTAGTATCTGGTGCAAGGGAAATGATACGTTCAGTTCATGAAACAACATGCAAATCCAAACAAAATGCATGTAAAAAAAGTAAGGCTAAGGAGAATTAAGCAAAACATATTCCTAATAATAAGCAGCAGAGGAGAATTGAGAACCACAATGATATCAACTTAATCAAGACATGAAAAACATAGATCCATTATAGTTGATCTAAATGCTTCTTGTACGAGTTTTACAACTCAAAACTTATTCAACAGTATCCTTTCATCTTACTAAAAACCTCAGTCCTCAGTTCATGAAGCAAGTAAGGATGTGCAAAATCCAGTTCAATTTTAGCAAAATTTAACATTTTCAGTCAAATAAGTTAAACCCGAATGTATACTTTCTCAAATTAGCATGCTTAAGTATTACTTATAGAAGTAATTAAATTACTAATTTTTTATCACACGACACAAGGAAAAACATTAACAAACAAAGCAAATCCCAGAAACAGATAAAGAAGTAAAATATAAGCATCAAAGTTGTCAAATAACAAGAAGAATTAGAGATACCTCCAAAATGATCTCCACAAAACAACAAGGGAGTGTCCTCTTCTTCCTCATCAACCCCATCCCCATACCCAAACTCCCCATCCCCACGATACCCAGGCTCACTCCCATACCCAGATTCATTCCCCCGGGCATCAAAGCACCCAAGTTGCGCCCCAACGCCGCCTAAACTCTCCTTCTCTCCACTCCCATTATCCCCTCTTTCTCGTCTGGGATTCCGGGCCTCGCTTACATCCGATGTCCAATATGCATCTCCAACATTCCCAAACTGCTCCCCACTCGAGTCCGTCCCAATTGCCATCGGAAAATCAGAGCATGTCCCGTACGCCGCCGACGCCCCCACGGAACAACACCTTCGAGTCCCGCTTCGATCTGAACTCCGACCCGATACCGACTTAGATCCACGGCGGCGGCGTTTTCTTGCGAACAGCTTGAAGCTACTTCTTTTGGGGTTGGCTCCGATTGGGTTGTTGTCGTCGTGGAGGGTTAGTTTGGAGAGGTCGATGGAGAAAGAAGTGGTTCGATCGGAAAGGCAAGGACGCTTGGAAAGGAAACCACTAGTGGAGGAGCGTTTTGGGAGATCGGAGGAGGAGGAGTCGAGGTTGAAAGGTCTCCATGAATGTAGGAGGAAAGTGCAGGAGCCTATTGAATGGCGCGAGTCCAGAGCCTTGTGTGACATGGAATGGCACAGCCGATTGCTTTGGTGATTCAGGTTACCACAATTGCAATCGTAGAATTTACAAAATGATCTCAGCTTTTTAGAATCGAATTGGGTGTTGTTTTACTTTTTGGCTCAACTCCGGTCGATCTGACTGGGAAGACATGTATTTCTATTAACACGGATAAATCCATATATTGATTTCATGGCCCCATGACGCAAATAAAATTGTCCAATAATCCAAACGGATTAATTATTGACTCAATAAATCAATTAAAATATTATTTTCATAATACTAAATTTATTATAATATAAAATGAACTCGTCGCGTTCATAATATGACGAGTTTACTTATATATTATATTTAATAGATCAAAGTCTGTGAATCTCGCACGATCTAATTATTTTAATATATTTTTTAAAATTTGTTATGTTCATGGGATGAGTTTTAATAAAATAAAATGTATATTTTTTGTAATTTAAAATAATATAAAATAATTATATTTTTTTCATTTTTTTATAGAATTCATCATACTCACATAACGAGTTTTATTTGATTTTAAAAAGTAATCGTTAAATGAACGTTGGCAATAGAATTTTTTTTTAAATCTAATTGGAACTCATCATGTGGGCATGACCAGTCCTACAATTTTAAGAAAAATAATGTTTTCATATTTATATCATTTAAAAGATAAATTTAATTTTATATGTATATCAATTACAAATAAATATGAAATTTTGAGAAATTTAATAGTTTTATTTGTTTTATAAATATTTTATTACAAACTAATAATTAAAATTTATTTTACTAAATACAATCACTAATAATAATAAAATTTACTTATATTTTCTTAATTATTGGCGATGTCGAGGAGTGATTGAATGCTAATGACATGAGGCTCGTCGATTTCTTTATGGTCGTCCACATTTGTCTTCACCTTCACCCTTACAATATTTTTTAATGTTTGCTTCTTGTTAAACTTGTGAAGTGTACATTAGTCCACCACTTTGATTTGCACATTCAGATGATAATGATGGAATATTTAAAGTATTAGACTCCGTCATTGACGTCATGGCTCAAAATGCACACCAAAATACTATATGATTGAGCATTTAGAAATAAATCCCATGGACCCGCATCATTTCTCAAATATGGTTGAGAGGGTGGTTGTAAAACCCTAATTTTTAGGTTAAAATTTTTGAGCTAATTCGAGAGAGTAAATTAACCCAATAAACTTGTGAGAAAACCTTGTCCAAGTAGGGAATAATTTGGGCCTAGGTTGAGCGTATTATGGAGTAAAAAGGGTAATTTGATTTGGGGTTAGTATAGGGAGGACTAAAGTGACAAAATGCCCTAAAAGTTGATATTACCTTAATCCGCCTTACGATTTTATTTGAGAGATCGAGAGCTCTCACGATTTTAAGTCATTCATTCATCCATTAATTCGCCTCAATAACAAATTAGAATAAGACCATAGACACATATGGCGTTGATTACCCTTATTAGTTGTTTGCTTCAAACAATATAAACCGAACTTTGAATTTCTTCCACTAAAATAATTATGCATGCATTCTCTATATAAAACTTCATGATTATTAGCAGCAAGACATCTTTTGTGAAAAGTTTTCTCGGCTTAATTTCACGGTATAACGCAAAAAAAATTCATATAAACGTTATGAAAAGTTAATTCTGATCCGCAGGTTCACGAAAACTCTTGCAACTCAATTGTGTGTTGACGAAATCTACGATAGAATAAGAAGCGACATGCATAAAAAATTTATAATACTTATCTAAGAAATAATTCGACAATATTAAAACATATTTTCTTTGCCATTTTGCTTTGAAGTAGGTTTAGGAATCCATCCAAAGTGGTCTCAATTTCTAATCGTCCTCGCACCCGTCCCGAAGTGAGGCATCTATAGAACTCGCTTTACCCAGCACGCGAGGTACGTTAAAAAGGCGCAACCCTTTTAATCAAATAATATCCAACGCATCAGAAAGTAAGTAGCGAGACACAAGACATAAGGTACGTTGAATTTGAATCGGATAAATGTGACGTAATGGACCTCGCTTTATGCAAAACACGAGATCATAATTCGTATAATAAAGACATTTATTTTAGAAAGAACCCAATAAATTAATTTCTAAAATAACATTATTTTAAAATATTTGTGAAATGTTTGACCATAGAGGCGTTATTATCTTTCGATTGAAACTAGTATGGACATATGAGAAATTGTAAGTATGGTACAATGTGTTTAAAATGCTTTCAAACGAAAAGAAATTGAAAAACTAAAGAATATATTTTTGTAAATAACTTATATTGGCTTAAACAACTCCAAAAATTACCATCTAAAAATTGTGTTCTTGGTATCGTCAGTACAGAATACAAAGAAAAAAAGATCAAAATCATTTTTCAAAAGGTGTTCGATTGGACCTAATTGATGGAGCAAAAAGTTTCTCGAGAGGCCTAAGAGGAAATCTAGATGCCACCAGAAGAGGATGCCTTGTGTTCTTGATATCGTTGATACAAAATGAAAAAGAAAAAGCTCAACAAAGTTTCCAATGGAAGAACCTCGCTTCGTATAGGTTTGTCTTGACCACGAACAATATTCTAATATGTACGATGTTGTCAAAGCACTTATGGTGCCTATCTTAACGTGGTAGACGAAAATAATGCCACCAGAAAGAGTGTATTTTTTAAACTAGAATTGTTCTGAGAAGGGATAAATCATTTGTAGTGCTTCTTTAAACTATACCACTGGAATAGACTACCTTTTTAAACTAGAATTCATCTGAAAGAATTAGGTTTAGTAAGGTGCTAATTGTCTCACAAGTTAAACTATCAAGTCTAATAAGTTGTTGTCACGTCAGAAATATCTACAGAACTCGTATTTTGCAAAACGCGAGTTCCATGCCAGATCACTTCAAGAATATATTTTTTACAGACCCATGTCCCTTCTACATCACATCAAGACTATATTCTACTGAAGAACGAGACTTTCATTCGAAATCTTATTTCAAGCAAGTTTATTTGACGTTTTTCAATTATTACACAATTTAAAGCCATTACAGTTTCGCTCATATTTTTTTTCTTTTTGCATGATCGTGGATATTTTTAAAACATGTCGAGAAGAGGAGGTGTTACTGCTTTGGTATACTATGATGAAAAAATTATGTGTGATGAATCTCTCAGCATAGACTTTCAGTCCGCACATACTATGACAATAACATTGTCGAAGAAATTAACTTATAAGAAGTTAATAAAAGAAGCCAAGAACAACATTTCACTTGGTCGAGAGAAAAACTTGAACTGTTGAAGTATCGACTACCGACGTCATTAGAACCACTAACATACTCAATATACAATGTTGAAGATGATGGTGATGTGAACATGATGGTCAATTACCACATGAATTATTCATTAAGAATGCCACTTGAGATATATGCAAATTTTTTTGATGCTAATAATGTTACTACAGTAAGTGTCCCAAATTAGAAACGGGTAAATTTTGACTTCGATCCTAATGTTCATACTCCGATAACTAATTTATGTAACGACTTCAACTTATTAAGTATATAAAGTTGGGGCAATGATTTTGGTGCATCATTGTCTTTGATTCCAAGGCATTCTTGTGTCGCTAGCTTGAACTTTGACTTGAATCTGCCACCAACGCAACTTTCAATTTACAATTCATACAATAGTGGCGTAGCTGCATCATCTTCTTAAAGGGAAATGAGGTTGCAAGAACATGAAGTGTTTAACCCATTCAATAATTTCTCAGTATTTATATGGAGACATTCTTTTGTTGGTACTGTCAAATTTGATAGTGGTTGTACGGTTCTCAAGCATTCTCGTGAGCGTTCTCATGATCGACACACAACTGCTACTCACGTTATCCCCGTAGTTGAAGACGATGAACTATTTCGATTTGAGGCGGATATTTCTGACGAAAAACTGGTAAGGGAGATAGGCCTAGATGGTGATGAGGTATGATCCTTCATTGAAGAACCGGAGGACCTTGGCATTCTAGAGGGAGCGAATGATGATTACTAGCCACCATCCCACTTCACAACATTGATATAGAACCTTTCAATGCTCTGGATTTTTCGCAACTTCCACAGCTTGATCAATACAACTAATATGGTGATGGTGAGCTCTATATTTGAATGACATTCAGAATAAAAAATTCACTGTGACTGCAATTAAGACCTACAATATACGTAACTCTGTTACGTTAACTGTGAAAAAATGTAAACAAGTACGTGGTTGAATGTGTCCACAAGCACGAGGGATGTAATTGAAGGGTTTGTGTATCACGATTGAAGAGGATGAACAATCTATAGAAGTTGAGCACATACGAGCGACCTCATTTATTCATTGTCAACAAGCTCAATTAGGATCATCCAAACTTAAATGTTCACGTGCTTTATGATGCCTTTATACCACTAGTCAAAACAAATCCATGTATATCAGTTTCCAGTTGTATTGATGTGATTACATTCTAATACGACAACACAGTTAACTACTATAAATCATAGTATTCTAAGTATCATGCTCAACAAAAAGTGTTTGGTCAATGGGAAGAATCGTACAAAAAGTTATGGCCATAGCTGAAATTATGTAGAAACACATATCGGGAACGATTGTGAAACTTCAAATTGTGCTGGCGTGCGAAAACGATCGTGTCATACAAGGTATGTGCCAATTTTACGGGCTATTTTAAACATTTCTGCAGCGTATTAATGCATTTTGCCACTAGAAGCCTATGGTTCAAATCGACGACACTTTGTTGTACGACAAATACACATAAATACTATTATTGGCGATTACACAAGACGGTAATAGGAAAACTATTCCCATCGCCTTCGTAATAGTCGAAAATGAATACATAGAGTTTTGGAAAATTTTCCTCAAGTACTTGCACAAATATACTCTATCACATGTTTTGCGTGAGCATTCTGGTCAGATATGTCTTATTTCTAACAGAGGCACAGGGATCAGATACACAATAGATCATATGAGACCGACTTGGGAACCTCCATATATTTATCACCGATATTGTTTACTCCATATTGCTACAAATTATTTGCAAAAGTTTATGAACGATAATGAAAGCGTAATTGTTCTTTAAATGGTTACGT